TTGCTAGAGAGCACATTGTCTTAAGTTTTATGAGTGTGCAAGCCAACAGACATAATACAGTTTTAAAATAGAAAACAGGGCATTTATTTCAAACAGAAGTAGCCATTGTTTTCTATGGGGTTGAGGTCAGGAGTTTGGGGTACCCATGTCATAACACTCACCTGCTTCTCATCAAAGTATTCCTTCATCAATTTTTATTTGTGAAAGGGAACATTATCCTGCATAAAAATGAGCTTGGTGGGGTTGATTTGCACCCTTTCAGCAGAAGAGAGCAGACAAGACTCTAAAATTCCCTTGTACTGCTTGCTCCTGAGGGTCTTTTCAATAGTTTTTAAGAAACCAGTTCCATGAAAAGAAAAGCATCCCCAGAACATTATACTGAACTGATGCTTGATAGTACTTACTGCTAACTTCAAAGAGCTTTCAAAGCTTCTTCTTTGGATTTTAGATTGCTTATCTTTTGAATTTAGCTCAACTTTCATTTCATCGGAGAAGAGAACATTTAGTAAAAAAAATCAGGTGAGTCACTTTTATCGAACAGCACTGTATACATGTATATCTCTGAGAAGAGGTATTGTAATTATTTACATTTATATTGTTCAGATTATTTTCCTCAACTTTATTGCCATATTCCCAATGTTTCAGCCACTGTACACTATAGCCTTCTTCAGGTGATTGGAATTTTGAACTGAACCCTTTATTTCATCCACTGGAGTAAATTGTTCTAGTCCCACATGCCATGCCTCTTCCAAATGACTCAGTCATCTCCCTTTAACTCAACTCTCCAAGTTTTTTTTGTTCACTAGGTATTAACTTATAAATCTTTAGGTCAAGTTACTGGATCAAACTAATGTTTTTCTCCACTGGGCCTTGAGGATATCAGTGCATGAATTTTTAGGACTTGTACACTTATTGTCTCAGTATTTTTTTTTTTTTTTTTTTTTTTTAAACCAGAGCTCATATTGCAATTTTGTTGTTATTGTTGCTTTTTTTTTTTTTTTTTTTTTTCTAGCATTCCATATTACTAGTTCCAATATTGTATTCATTTCTATGCTTGGACAACTTAGATTTTTGTGGCCTAGCATACGTGCTGATTCCTTAAGTTTTCATATTTTCCAGTGATGTTTTCTCTGTTATTTCAACCTCATTCCACAGGGGGCAGTGATCTCCCTTTTCCCTCCATATGTGGTAAGCTACACTAGATTTTACTATTTTCCCCAAGTGTTACAAGTTTACAATGTTCTTGCAGTCTTACCTTAAGGGTATGGCCTGTTTCTCCTTTATATATTACTTACCACAGCTGCACAGGACAGCATACACACAGTCCTTAGTCATGTTCTCCTCGATGGGGGTCTTACTCAGAAAAGGTGCCTGCGAAGTGTCAAACCACTTTAGAAGTTCGTCCTGACGTTATATTGATCACAGATCTTCTGTATTTTCTCTGATGATCTCTTCACATAGAAAACAGCTTCAGTCTGCCTACGCTGAGTGTTGTTATCCTCTTGTACCCTTCTATCCCAGTTTGTCAGAGATACTGCCATGTACCCAGGGTAGCTGTTATGTTGTAGAGCAGACATTTCAAACTCAGGGCATATAGAGGGTCACAATGGCCATATCTGCAGCCTCAGAGGCTGCACCTGCTTAAAGTCTTACATTAATCACAGCTAGTGGTAACTAAACTTTAAATACAAAATACTTACAATACAAGGTAGTACAATTTAATCATTTTTATATTGTTCTGATGATTGACATCACTTTAGACAAACTGTTCTTGATATATCAGGTTGGAATGTCTGTGTAGATCTCACTTTGAGCAAAAATGACAAATGTTCAATTAATCTGGTTCTGGGAGAGATTTTTGTGGTCTTCATGAATGTAAATAACTGCTCAAAAACATGTGGAAGCAAACATTGCCATAATCTTTGTAGCAAACTTTCTAAAGTTCTTAAATGCCTGAGGAAGATATGAAAAAAAATCCAGGTACACCTACTTCCAGGTACTTTCCCTTGATTGTTGAGTCAGTCTGCATTTCCAGTAGTCCCATCTGCAGACTGAGCAACATCAAAAGTGAATGGTACTGAGAATAATGTAAACTGATCTTCACAAGATGAAAAGTCACAAAATCTTTGCTGAAATTCCTTTGACAGCAATTCCAGGTAATTGTTGTACTTAGCAAAGATAAATACAGACTCAGTATTGGCAGTTTTTTTCAACTGCTTGCACATAGGAAAATGAATAAAGTTTTCATGTAACAACTGGGACTTCAATAAAGCTAATTTTGCAATGAAACACTTGATATCATCATATAACTGAGTAATGAACTTATTTTTACCTTGTAATTTCAAATTAAGGTGACTTAATTGGGCTGTAATATCCACTGAAAAAGCTAGATCTTGGAGCCAGCTTTTATCTTTCAATTCATCCATGCTTTGACACTTCATCTCCAAAAACAATTTTGTGTCACAATAAAAAAAATCTTTTCAGTACCTTGTGACATGAAAGCCACCAAACTTCTGTGAAGAATGGGACATTTGTGAACTGATTATTCAGGTCTTCTAATAACTGGCTAAACTAACAGTGATGCAGAACACAACCTCTGATATAGTTCACTGTTTTTGTGACAAAACTAAACACATGATCTAATTTTAAAATCTTAGAACATAAGTTCTGTTGAATTATACAGTGAAAATGCTTGAATGTTGAATCTGGATATATGCTTTCTATTTTTGTACCTAAGTTGGCAGCAACACCATTATGTCTCCCAACCATATTGGCAGCACCATCAGTAGATAAACACACAAGTTTACTCAAATCAAGGCCATACTCATGGAGAAGCTGTTCAACTTTCTCAAAAATGTCCTGGCTTGTTGTAACATCATGCATTGGGACCAGTTCAATTAGTTCTTCATAAATTTAAAATTGATTGTCACAAGTCCTGATGAAAATGATGAGCTGTGCTATTCCAGCTATGTCAACATTCTCATCCAGAGCAATAGAATAATGTTCAAAACTTGATGATAAAGTCTTCAACTGTCGACTCAAATCATTTGCCATTTCATCAATCCATTCAGCAACAGTGTTCCTGCTTAATGAAATGTCTTGAAATAAGTGTGACTTCTCTGGACATACAATTTCAGCTGCTTTTACAAGACAACACTTTATGAAATCTCCTTCACTGTAAGATTTTCCACTGATGGGGATTATTTTGCAGAGTTCAAAACTTGCAGTAACAGAACTAATGCTGCCTTTCTGAATTTTTGTAAAGCAACTGCTGCTGTATAAACTTTTGAAACACTTTCCATTCACTTTTGAAACATGCATATCTCCTTCATATTTATCATAAGATCGATGGTTTGTTTCATAATGTCTCTTCATATTATATTCTTTTGATGGTGCAATGCAGTGGTTGCAAATCAAACAGTTTATCTTTCCATTAACAGTGGTACAAAAGTACTGTAATTCCCATTTTTCTTGAAACACACGTCTTTAAGATAATTTTCTCTTTTTATGAGATGACATTTTTAAGGCAAAATATTACAAAATTACAAACATTTTCACTTTACATTTGTTCTTATTTAGTTGTCAAGGATGATCATGTTATTAACCGGAAGTTAAAAATAGTCACTGACATTCAAAAACAAAAAACCATTGAGATAGAATAAACCATCTAATAATACCAATTGAAAAAAAAAATCTGACTGTTTTTAATAATTTGCATTACCAACATAGACAAAATTCTCAATATACCACAGATTAGAAACCTTTGTGAGGGCTGCCAAGATGCATGTAAAAGGCCACATGCAGCCCGTCAGCCACCAGTTGTAGAGTACTGCTTATACTGACCATTTCTTGGTCATGTCTCTTTTGCTCAATGTTGTAAGCAGCGGATGATCCCTTTCTTTACACTGTATGGGTGGTGGGAATTGAAGTATTGTCTGGTGAATATTGGCTTGCAATATATGGATGTCTTGGACCCATGCTCTGTTCAAGATATTAGTACATCCAAGTATGTGAGTCTATTGTAGTTTTCTCTCTCTATAGTGAACTTTGCTGATGATCTTATTCAGTTAACATGGTCCAGTAGTCACTGGACCTCTTTTTTGAGGTGGCCAGAGTATGAAGGCATCATATATGTATCTCAACCATAGGGTTGGCTTTAGTGATGTAGATTCTAATGCTATTTCTTCAAAATATTCCATGTATATGTTTGCTATTGCTGGTGATAATGGCAAGCCCATTGCTAAGTTTTCATCCTGTGTGTGTGTGTGTGTGTACACAAAAACTCAACACTAAAGTCCTTCAGAATGGAATTTTATATATTTTGCCTTTTTATTTTTTCCACCCCAAATTTTGAAAAGAGGTTCAAAGAACTTTTCAGCACCACATATCTGAATGTTATTCCCTCTTAAATCCCAATCTCTTTTTATGAAATGATAAAAATTTGTTACTTTAGTTCTTCATGAATAGAAAGTGAACAAAATGAAGACTGCATAGTCAATTTTTGATGACTGAAATTTTAATGACTATCCCATCCAATAGTTTTTTTTTTTAAAACACATGATCAAATTCATATATATATATATATATATATATATATATATATATATATATATATGGGGTTTTTGATGCATGTGGAAGTTTAATTCCTCAAATTATGCTTCCCATTGTAAAAATAGCTTGCAGAAAGTTAACAGAAAAATGTTAAGGAAGGAACTTGAAAATTGCCTTGGGTTTCATAAAGACAAATATCAGTGCCCTATGAAAGTTAATTGCCAAAAGGCAACAGCCATTTGTAAAAATAAATATTTTCTTTAAAATATCAATTTGGCAGCATTCTCCCCTTAAGAAATATTCTTGCTTCTCTATTACAATTGATTTAAATTTTATTTTGCAATAAAACATGCTGAATTTGGCAAACATGACATCATTGTTTTGGGAATTTGTCATTCTCTATTTTTTAATTTATCTTAGAGAAGAAAAATTGAGAACAGAATATTTACCTTCATGGATGACCATTGAAGACAAGGTTTCTAGTGTGTCTGGATTGTAATTGCTAGGTCTAAAAAAAAAAAATAAATAAATAAAAAAAGTTAAATTTATGAAGAAATGGGAACAAAAACAAACAACACATACATTTAGCAATCAGATTTATATTTTTAACAAATGAAATCTTGATCTTGCTTGATCAATGCTTTATTGATTAAAATGAACAAACCCAAAAATAAAAGCAAACTATGTGCAATGTGAGTTTTGAAGCAAATATGGTTAATTCTAAAGTATACGGAATTTAAAAATTAAAATAATGGGAAAGTTATACAGATCATTTGAGATCAATTAATATTTTGTCTTTATGCATTGCAAGAAAAGTATTAAATAAAGACAAGTGTCATTTGATAAAACACTATAAAAAGGTAGATTTATACAATGAAGATAGATAAAATATAAAACTAACAAATAATTTTTTACTGTACAGCATTTAAAGCTATCATTTTTCACTTATATATCTATTTAATTTTGTCTCCACAGATTTTATTTTAACAAGATGGTGCTGAAAAATGTTCAGCCTAACCAAGAGATCTTAAAAAAGAGAAATGAGCCAGAAGTTTTCAGCATCTGCTTCTAACATACAGAAATCATTAAATATAAACATTAAAATTTAATACAAGAGATGTTATTTTTGCCTGTTGCTTTACATGCTAAAAATACTTTTAGCCCAAATACTTGCATTGGGAAAGTAAATACTGAAATGCTTTTAGGAGCAGAAAGTATTAAAATGACTTGGTGGGGAAAATAAATTTGAAAATGAATTTTGAAGACTGAATAGAAAAAAAAAAAATTTTTTTAAGTTTAAAATTTGTAAGTATAAAACTACTATAAAATTAATTACATTCAAGAGAAAAGAGGTTTACTTTAAAAAGCAAATTGAAACCATATAAAGCTTACAAAGACATTTACATGGTATCACTTAGATTCTCAGAATAGAACACAAGAATACAGTGACCATATATTATTATTTCCTAGTCTGTCATGAAATTCAGGACACCATAACTGAAGTATACTTATAAATAATATTGGCTGGCAGCAAAAGGCTTTGGTAATTTTGAAGAATGAGATAATCATGACTGTGTTCTGAGCAGCAGCATTGTATGGTTGAACTCAAGGAATGGCAACAGCAGCAGCAGTACTATTCTCACCCAAACTTTATATATTCCTACACAATTTCCTTAGCATGAATATAAAGAATAGAAAACATTCTTAAAAGACAGATATACATTTGACTATCAGATTCATGAAAAAAAAAAATCATTTAGATAATAAAGGAAATGATCAAGGAGAAAATTGTTCGACATGACCTTCATCCATCATATTTCAGATAAAAGTAATTAATTTTATGATATTGGAAATTTAAATGAACTACCTAATTAATCAACTTATTTGAAAGCCAATAATAATTTTAAGTACTTTGTCTAAAAGACCTAACTTTCTTTGCTCTAATTTAGACATTGTGATCTCACTGACACAATGTGCTTGTATTACTCAATTAGTGAAAGTAAATAAGTAAAAGTACTTGGTAAAAGACATCCAACATAACCATCTAAATCATTGTTGCACTCCTATTACATTGTATTAACTGATACCATCAACCAGAAAAATAAATTTCTATGATTTATAACACAGAGCAATTTCTGTACTATTTTAAAGACAACAAAGATTAATTTAAAAAGTAAAAAAAATAAATTGAAGTAAATGAAATTTAAAACTAATGATCATTTTTATACACTGTAAAACATCACATTCAACTAAAGTTACTTCTTAACGAGATATTTTTAACAAAAATAATTTAGAAATATAGAAAAAATTGCAAGTAGTTTTTATTATTTCAATGTTGCAGTATTTCTCAACCTACAATCAATAAGCCTGAGAAATTGGATAACTTTACATGAGGTGGAACTGAAATTTTCATTAAAAAAAAAAAAAAAAAAAAAATTATATATATATATATATATATATATATATATATATATATATAGTAAAAGATGTTCTACTTAATAGTGTTTGGCTTATTCCAACTTAAAAGTACTTTTTTAATTAAAAAAGTATGAAATTAATAAATACTTAAATTCATTAATACTTAAATTCATTAATACTAACAAATTCTCCAGAAAATTTTTATCTTAACTAAAAAAATTAGTTAAAGTATAAATTAGTTGATAGTTAAGATTTGAGTCCATTTTCAGTCTCTTCAAAAGAAAATAAACATCTGCATATTTGCCAGTCAAAAATGTATCAAAACTATTAACAATCTAAATAGCATTCACAAAGGTAATTGCAGGTAAATATCAACATAGCTTTATGTAAGCTAAGTGACCAGTATTAATTGATTACAGCATTAAATTCTGATGTCAAATTACAGGAACAGTGCCAGTCAGTAACAGATTTTCATATCGGCTCAAAGTTGAAAAAAAAAATAAATAAATTCATTTAAAATAAAAGTGAACTATTAATTCAATTGATCTTGGAGAAAAAAAAATGTAACCAAAGTCAGAAAATTAATTTAACACAATGACAGAACTGTTAATACTTATGCTAGAAAGGAAAATTTTCAATTTCACAAATAAACACTAAAAGATATACAAAGTTGGCCTAAAGTTTACCTATATCTATATGAAGTGGATAGTTAAAAAGAATTTTTTAAATAAACTTGTTTTCCTTATAAGCAATAAAATAATTTTCAAATGATTATTTATTTTCAATCATTAGTTTTTTGGGTTTTTTTTTTTTTAAGAACAAGTACGAAATAGATATTTACATAAATAAAAGTCATTAATTTACATGTCAAAGCAATGAAAAACTGAATGAAGTGACTTTCAATGATGTTTTCAATTTTATAGCAGTAGACATAATATATATAAAAGAATGAAGGGGGATCTTATTTTGATTTGTGTTTCATTTTTTTTTTCTTTTTTCCTTTTTATAAAATACTAAACATAGCAGAAGTGATATTTTTAAAGATATAATTAACATTTACAATTCCCCAATTAAAAATTAAAATGAAGACAATTTTTTTCATTTATTATAAATGCTCTTAATGCTTACATGAGGTAAAACAGCTAATCTTTATTTCTAAACCATAAAACTAATTGGTAATCTATATTAAAATATAATCTTAAGAGACTAAGCAACAACACACAATGAAAAAATAATTGCCAGACTGAAATGTTGCCTCAATACTTTAATTATATTTCTTTTGTATAAAGCCAACTTAGGAATAGTCTTATATTTTTCACACAAAAAAGTTGAATTAAAGATTTACTGTATGCCACTTTTTATGCCCAATCGTATATTTATTGAATTAAACAACTGATAAGTTAGAACTTAAATGCCACTTCTGGAAAGAATGATGTAAAACATTTCAGCAAAAGTTCTAATTTATGGCAAGGCAATCAAAAAGCAAATTTCAAAATATTTTTTAAAATACTTCTAGTAATCAAAAACAAATGACAGCAAATACAGATATTAGCTTGTGTAGTTTCAAAAAAAAAAAAAAAAAAAAAAAAAACTTTTTATAATTAGTAGCAATCAAAGTCTACATTATTCCAAAGAAAACAGTAAAAGACTGGTTGAAACTAGTTCATAATTTGCAGATGTCAGAAAATTAACAATGATCAAAGTTGGCAGACAGAAGAAACCATCAATTAGATAAATGTCGCAAAAAGTAAATAGAATGGACAATGTTCACATTGAGACAATGTATCAAAGATAGAAGCAACATTTCTGCATGAATGAATAACTCAGTATGAATATTGTGTATTTAAAAAAGGAAGAGTGAATTTTACACAAGGAAGGTATTTTTAGCATGCAGGAATCTTAATTTAATGGCTCCAATTAACCCAAGAAAAATATTTAATAGAAAAATCCTGGGAAAAACAAAAACTCTCCACTTTTGATTTAGTAAAAAGAATATTTGAAAGGGAGAATTCAGTCAAAAAATAAAAATGTAATGTGGTGGGTGGTATCTGCTTGCTACATTTACCAAGTTGGATAAAAATGATGATATATTACATCCTTGAAAGGGTGGGAGGGAGAAAAAGAAAAAGAAAAAAAAAACAACACCTGAGATTAACACTTGAGATTTATTTACATAAAGACCTATCCACCAGGTTGGTGTGGTTTCTAGGCAGAATAATTTCATGAAAAGTTATTTCCGAAAAAAACTTAGCCAAACAATCAGTCATGTAGTTTGTTAACTGCAAAACATATTTGCAAGTAGTTTTATAAGAAGAATAGTTTTCAGGAAGTAGGTTATCAGAATTGTCAAGTGACTTGCTAGCCATATCCTTTCCAGAACAAAAAAAAGGCAAAACTAATGTATTGGTATAAATCATTGGTGACAAATCAGAAAGCTGAATATATTGAGAAAGAGAGGTGTGTGGTGCACACATTAGGAAGTTCTGCTAATGCCACCTGAGAGAAGAAAGTGTTCCATCAAGGCAGCCAAAGAGAAGAGATAGTGGAAGAACCCAGTTTAACATCAGTAATATGAACAGATTACCAAATTATCATCTCAAACTTTGAAAAGTTAGAGGATGAAAAAACATCATGCATGATTGTTATCCGAAATCAACATAATTGAATGATATGAATAATACAAATGATTCAAAGTTCAGACTACTGAAAGCAACTGTCAAACACTGGAATTGGGGAAAAGGTGATTCCACTTTAAAACACCAATATAACTAATAGTTAAAATAAAATGTTTTGCTAAAATCTTATGGTATTCTAGTTTTCTTGGTCATTATTCCAAGACTTTAATCAGTCTTGGGAATCTGTCAACATTAGTATTGTGTGACACATTGCTGGCTTGAGTTTGCAAGGTTTCAATGCTAACCTTGGGAACTCTTCAAACCTTAGCTAACCACATGAGTACAGGAGTGCTGCATCCATACATAAATGGAATGCAAGAGGAAAATAGCAAAGCAACAAAGAAACGCACAAATCAAACCACTATATACCCACTCGGGTATAGCATTTCATTCTGTACAATGACAAAGGATTCTT